AACTTAAAGATCCAGGGAATTTCACTCTACCTTACTCTGCAGGAAATTTACTTGATATAAATTGTTTAATTGTTTCAGGAGCGAAGTTGCACGAGCTTGAAACAATAGCTTTATCTGAAGAGTGCAGTGCCATCATTCAAAGCAAGATCCCTCCCAAACTTAAAGATTCAGGGAATTTCACTCTACCTTACTCTACAGGAATTTACTTGATATAAATCGTTTAATTGTTTTAGGAGCGAGTAATAATTTAATTTCCTTACCTCCATTGACTTATGGTTAATCATAAGCTTAAAGTTTTGATTATAACAAATAAGTTAATCTTGTTTACTAATAAGTTGAATTTAAGTGATTATAGTTTTTCAAAGCATGCTATTAAAATCTGATCAATGGTCGTTAGAGGTCAAAATATCAAAATTGAAACCACACATTCAAGAATTTCAGAGCCAAACTTCGGAGCAAAATCAAGACTTGATTTCTTAGACAAAATGTAAAGGTACTAATACTTTAATATTTGACAATGAATGCTTAAGGTCAAAATCCTTCTATACGTTAAAAAACTATTTTTGTACATTAAAAGTTATTCTAATGCAATGATTTAATCAAATATAAAAATGACACTTAAAAAATGATATTTGAACTTGAAAAATATCTTTTACTTTGAAAAGTTAGTTAAAAATATTCTCCAAAAGTCCATGTCTTTCAAAACTTTCAAATCGGATCAAATGGGCCAAATCGCAAAAAGACCAAAATTGTCGGGTGGTTAACAGGCCGGAAGAGGCAGCCGACCTAAAGTTTCCAACAGTCCAAAATTTGATAGTTCTGACATTTGATTTTTACTGAACAAACAGCAATCGATCGATCGAGTCATTCGCACTTACAGATTTTTTGACGTTTTGAACTCTATAAATATTCCCCTTTCTTGAATTCGTTATAAGATTATTAGATAGCATTAAAATGAGAAATATTTGAGCAAAACTATTTGAGCTTACATCTTATTTAACTTTTCAAACATTTACTTTGAAAACTTTTGATTGATTGAATCAACATTTGAAAATCATATTCTTCATCAAAGTTTTCTCATCTAACACTTGAGCCTAGTTCATTGCTATTTATTTAAATGTTAGCATGTTTCTCTCTTATAATTAATTTGTGCATATTACTTATTAAGAGAGAAGTTTCAAAGTGTAAATTTATTTTGTTATACTTGTTGGGTCATATTGACGTCTCGTAAAGCTCAGTATTTGTATAAGGATTGATGCTTTTTGTTTGTAAGTCATCAGAAGTGTTGTAAATGATTGAATTATATTATAAGTCAATCAACATAGCGAAGCTCTTGTTCGTGCTAGAGAGTTTGGTAATGGACGACGTAGATCATTGCTTTGGATCAAACCTCCACAATTATATCATTTGCATTCTCTTCCCTTTTACTTATTGATTTTGTACTTGTTGCATTTTATCTATTTGATTGACTTAATAATTCAAAATTTGCTTAAATTTGGATTCATCTTCAAAATGTTTTTTAAAAACCAATTCACCCCATCTTGACAAGTCATTCTTGGGCTTTTAACTTCTTTACAAGAAATTGGGATTAAGAGATCCTAAAAACTATTGAATTAGATATTAAATCTTATTCCTCATGAGAACAATAAACTCGAAACACACTGATTTCTATTACTCGTCAACGATCCCGTACGCTTGCAGATTTTGTCCGAACACCACTAATCCAACGATTGAATTAGTCACCTAATAAATCTTGAATGTGGGTCGATTTTTATCTATGATATATATAGACTTGGATAATGTCTAGGATTTTGGAAAATAAGAACTTCATAAATCTATATGACAAGAATAAAAGTATTTTCGAAACGGATTATTGTTTGCGTTACGATACAAATTAGAAATATTCAGTTAAAGATAATAATTTTTTAATGTCATGTTAATAAGGTAGATTAGATAACCATCCCCAGTATTAAAAGGAAAAAAAGTTAAAACAATATATTTTGTTATTTAGTTCAACTTACTGCAAAAGAGTAAATCCAATTGAACTTCGATTTTAAAATAACAATTTGTGTTGCTCGTGAGTATTCATATACATATTTAATTGATGGGGAAAAAAATAAAAATGCTCGTGGAACACATGATTGCCCCGTTGCCTCTCAGGGAAATAAGGTTATGCTGATAGACGTGTGTGGACATATACATTTGTTCTTAAATTTTGACTTTTTTCTGGCCAGTTTAATTGTCATTTTGACTCTTTGGTTTTATTTGGAATTTTTGAGATAAATTCAGATGAAAAATATTCAATTTCATTTTCATTCGAATACTTCACATCAATACATTTCCTTTCACTTATTTTCCTTCATCTCGAAGTAACCATACAATTAGTAGTCTACATAGCATTGCAAATAAAAGGAATAATGTGTTTAAATTCTTCAAGAATTTCTTTTTTAAGATTTAAACACTACAACGTTTGGTAAAATTCATAAATTAACATAAATAGTTAAACATCAATTAATCATACATTTCAATGAATCTATAAGTGCTATCCACTTAATCATCATTTTTTTTTATCTATTTATAAATTAAATCGTTTATAAATTTTTCCTAAAGAAGCGTAAGTTCAATTTTATTTTAAATGGGTCACTAAGTTAACAAAGGGTCCATTAACTAAGGTAAAACTCACATGTCATTTCACGACGCAGCGGATGTAAAGTTTGTCAACACACTAGTTTAATTTTCACATGAAAAAAGTCAATTGTATAGAAAAATATTCTACAGAAACTCATCAGACCCTCACATGAGGGCAGACTTCATGTGAATTGAAATATTGCAAAAAATAACTCACCCATCCCTACATGTGTGTATTCTGTACACATTTATTTTCTACACATGTAGCTTGGCTGTTTTCACATTTAGGGTGCTTTTGATGGAATAAATTAAATTTTTTCATGAAAAATGTCCATTTTCTCACTCAAGTTCCTACATTTGGAGTGTTTGATTAACATTTTGTCCATGAATTATTTATTTATTTTTTTTTTTAAAAGTTTGTTGCATGATCATATTTTTCTTAGAAACAAGGAAAACATTTTTTTTAGAGGGGAGTAAATTTTTATTTTTCAAGCAATTCAATCTTTCGCTCCCTCATTTGTTTAGATGAACAAGTATAATATTTTTCAGATTGAAATTTAAATCAACTAAATACATTTAATTAATAATTTTCATGTAAACAAGTTTTAGGTTCTTTACATGCAAATTTCATGTTTGTAATCAATCACACCTTAGTGAAAATAGAAAAAGTCGACAAGAATGTAGTACTACTTAAATAAACCCCATGATGAATGATTTTGTTCGAAAAACTTTAACGATCACATTGCAACTTCAATGTCGACCAATTCACTATTGAGAGTAATAAAATTTAACGACTGAAATGACTGAAATACTTTTTTATTTTTGTTTTTAACACTTTGACTTCGTTAGTAAACCTGCTAAATAATCTATCCAATTTTACACATCGAGACACAACAATTGATACTGAAATTCATGCAAAAAGACAATCGAATATGCAAATAAAATTGAAGTAAAATATTCAATAAAATTATAAAAATTATTTTTGGAGTTAAAGTTCGGAGACGGCAACGTTGAACATTTTATATTATCAAGTGTCTGGTCTACCAATCCAGAAGCACAATCCAATGTGAGATGCGATCGGCCAACAAAAAGACGTGTTGACTAATTAATTACACATCTCTAGCGCCTGCAGTTTTATTACCCAGTGCTGTCACCAAAACATAAACCAATCAGAATTTATTATATATATAAAATAATTGTTCACGATACAACTTTAATATACATTACTCTATTTTATATTCGTCTACTTTGTTATAAAGTAATATTATTTAATTTTAATTCGAATTTAGATGGCGCTAATGTGACATTAATTGATATGTAGAATTAAATAACTCATTTAATTTTACTTTTCATTTAACATTTATTTAGTGTCACCCAAATTGGGGTTACAACCTCGATAGAACCACATTGCATTATTCTTGTTATATGGAACTATATAGCAATATTTTATTCAAGCGGGCTCCATCCACGTGAGAGGATGAATACTCCTATGTATAAAAAATTATGTATCCCTAATATTTTCCATAAAGAAATATTGAGGTGTTTGATAGACATTTTTATGTAAAAATACATTTTAGAATAGTAAAGTGATGTGAAATGTGTGGCTGAAAAATAATGAAAAGTTTTTGATTTACGTGTAATAGTATTTTAATAAAGAATGTGTGATTAAAAATAAGAGAGAGAAAAATGAATTTTGAAGAAAATGATTATCAAATGGGGTCTATGTCTTTTCTTTATTAAATACACCATCACATGTATTGTCACAAGAAAGTACACCTTTTTTTTTTTTTTTTTTTTTTTTTGTGGTCCCAATCCTCTAGACGAATCATATGGATGTATATTGTTTATATTCAACTTGAGAGTAAAATATTAAAAGGTTAACATCGTTAGGAGGATGATTATTATTGTTATATTTAAATAAAGGTAAATTTTATTATGCAATTATGATTATTTTTATTAGGATGACAATCCTGTGTCTCTCATCCCATTGAAGATTATGTGGAGGCATAGGAATTAAAATATCCCTATTTTGTAATTTTTTTTCTAGATACTTATTAATTTTTTAGAATATAATTTAAATTTAAAAACACAAAAAAGAAAAAATATATAATAATCAGGAGAATGTTCACCTTCTTCATTCCTACTGATTTCGTGACTAATCGCGTAATTCTCATTGAATTCGAGATGAAGCATTTTGTCATTCTTAATTTTTTTTTTAATATTTATGCGATTTTATTAACAAATCGAGGAATTTACTTATTCAACCTACTTTAATCTTCTCCATATCCGATCTNTCAGCGCGTGAATGTTTGCCATATTATTTACTAAGAAATCCCACAGAATATTTTGTTTTTTAACCTTGAAATTTCTCGTCGTTCTTTTGTATCGCACTATAAAACCCACCAAACCAGTCCATAAATTCTTATCCCAAGAATCCCAGAAAATCTTTATAATCCTGTTTATTTTCGATCTTTAGATTTGGTCCAATTTTCTTTATTTGTTTAATTCCTTAATTGGGCTGTTTCTTCTTGGAAGAAAGAAATCTTGGTTTTGAGAATTATTAGTTCCGTTTATTTTCAGTCTTTCACGAGCATTTTAAATCGAAATTTGGTCCCATTTTTTCTTTCAATTTCCTTGTTTTGACTAAGTGGACTGTTCTTTTTTTGGATAAATAGAAAATCTTGATATGGAGAACACTTTGGGTTTGCTTAGAATCACTATACAGAGAGGGATAAATCTTGCTAAAAGGGATGTCAGGAGCAGCGATCCTTACGTTATTGTTCGGTTGGGAAAACAGGTTAGTCAGAGGTTTTGTACAGTTTAAAATGTTTTTTGATAATGTCGATGTTTAATGCTTTTAAATGTTTCTTTCTTATGGGGTTGATTGTTAAGTTATAATCTCTGTACAGAGAAATTTTTGACAGTTTAAAATGTTTTTAGATAATATTGACGTTTAATGCTTTTGTATGTTTTCTTTTTATAGGTTGATTGATTGTTAAGTTAAAATCCACGTTGTACCTTCGATTCAAATCCAATATTGTATATCAAACTAGCATCGATGTACAAAGAGATTTTGGACAGTTTATTATGTTTTTCATTAATGTTGATGTTTCTTGGAGGTCGAATGATCCCTGCCTAATCTTGCTTAGCTTTAGATTAAAGGGCAAAAGCAGAGCTAGAGCAGTGCTACCCTTATAGAACCAGAGTTTTGCCTGGCAACACACATACGTGGGACTCACATAATTTTTTATTTTTTTTAATACAAGTGGGCCCCTGCACAGTGAGGAGCCCTGTAAGTAATCTGTGAGCAAAGGTTTGTACATTGGGCATTGCTCTAAATACTAATACTGTTTAACATGCTGCCCACTCCATCTTACCAAACATGCTATTTTCTTTACTTAGGACCTGTTGATTTTTTGACCATTAGAGAAAAAAGTGAATTCCATCCATGAGTGAATAAGTCAAAAATGACTGTTGGAAGAGTGAAATAATGATCAAAAAATTAATTTTTCGAGGTGAAAAATTGCTATCAAACACAGCTTAATTCGAGAATCATTGTACTTCAAACAAAAAAGAAAGGAATTGGGCTTCATTTTTTTAAAACTCATATTTAATCATATTCTCCCATAAAATTTTTTTATATATAAGTCAAAAACAATTTTTTTTTTTTTAAGTACACATTCTCCAAAGTATCACTTGTCTCAAATAGGTGTAAGGAAATAAACATTAATAATACATTTAAGTTCCCTATCTTTTTCTTTACCACTCCTTCATAATCTCCTTTGTTTAGAGGTAATTGAAAATAGTAAACCTTTTCTTTTAGTAATTTTCCCTGAAATAGACAATGATGGAGTCACGTCTATTTTACGAAATTATTGAAGTTTCTGATGTTATATAGGCCCCGTTTGGTAGGGATTTTTTGCCCCAAAAAATTGATTTTTTGACCGTTATTTTACTATTCAAGCCGTAATTTTTGACTTCTTTTTTCACATGTGGACCCCACTTTTCTTCTAACGGTGAAAAAATCAGTTCTCAAAATCCCTATCAATAATATTGAGATTAGTGATGGTGGATTTGGTTGGTTTGCCTCGTGGATGTTTCCCATCATTCTGAGGGTTTACCACATTAAAATCAGTACTTTTCTTGTCGTTGATTTTTCTTGTATTGATATTGCTTGCAATCTGGCTTGTTGAATTGAATTAAAAATTCTTATTTTAATCGCACATCTGATGCAGGAAATTATATTGTGGCAGCATTGCTATTGTTGTTTTTTCCTACATTGAATTTGTGCATTTTTTCCCCTGCAATTCTCTCTTTAGTTATTGTCTGTCTATGTTGATTTTAGTTTTTTGGTTTTTCTACTTCTGTTTATGTTTATATGAATGGAATTACTGAAGAATAAAACTAATTTAATATAATGTAATTATTTGATCAGAAATTAAAGACTCGAGTTGTGAGAAAGAACCTTAATCCTGAGTGGAACGAGGAACTGACGCTAACGATTGCTGATCCTAATCTTCCAATCAAGTTGGTAAGTGTAATTTTTTTATTTTTTTCCTTTTTTGCATCGTATAGTTTGGCAAAGTAATAATATCTGATGAATTAGCATTTTAGCTGTCCCCTTCATATTTTACCTGAGAGTCTTCAACAAACAAGTGGAACTTCGAAGTATTTTGTGTTAGATAATCTGGCAATGACAAGAAAAAGATAACTTCTGGGAATTGAACTCGCAATTCTACAATATTCGAAGTGATTCTTGTTTGGACAGTGTAGAGCCTAATTATACTGTTAACTTATCTCCTCGACCCTGCGATATTAGAGGGGTGTAGTGGCATTCCATACATGTTAAGTTGCACTAATATTGCTACCATGTGAAGGATTTTAGGAGGTTGGTTCGTGTGTGAAAGATGTGAGGGAAAATTTTTTTATATTTTTCTTCTCCATTTCGTGTGTTTCTGTTGCTTGTTTTTTATTCCAGTATACTTATTGCAGCTCTCATAAGTCGGGATTCGGGCTTAACTCCCAACGTTTCTTGTGTTAATCTGTTTATTTCATTGCAGGAAGTTTACGATAGAGATACGTTCAGTCGAGATGACAAAATGGGAGATGCAGAAATTGACATTAAAACATTTGTAGAAGCTGCAAAGAGGGACTTGCAAAATATCTCAAGTGGAGTCATAATCGCGAAAATAAACCCAACCCGAGAAAACTGCGTAGCCCAAGACAGTTCTATAATCTGGGAAAATGGCAAAGTAATCCAACACATGTTTCTGAGACTTAGAAATGTTGAGTGTGGAGAAATCGAGCTCCAGTTGCAGTGGATAGATATATATGGTTCGTGAGGTCTGCAGTTTGTTTCTGTGGCTGGCTAATTCGACTTGGCATCATCAGTTCCTTCACTGATAAATTTCGTACATTATTAAAAGAAACGATTTGTCCTTGATCGGGTTCACAGTCAAAAGACGTATAAATTAGAGTCGGGATTTTTCGTGTTGTATTCTTATACTTACATGATAATATATATGTTTTAACGATTTTATTTTCGTGTTATACACTTATTCGGACTCTAAAATAACTCTAAAATAAGGATATTTTGTAGTTCTTCTAATGAAATTACAGTCTAATTTATTATATAGCCCCCGTTTGTTTTTCATTATTTGTCCATTAAAATGAAAAATATGATCGTTATCCATCACATCAAGTCATCATATTTGATTTTCTATTTCTTATATATGACCCGTAACGACTATATTTTTCATTTAACGACTATATTTTTCATTCTCATTTCTATATTAATATGTACCAAACAGGGTCATAATATGTTATCAGGTGAAACTCGATAAATGGAAGTGGAATTGAAAAAAAGAAGTGATAATTGACAAAAAAAAAAAAATAATAATAATCTTTACTCTCTTAAAAGAGAGGCTTTTGGTACTGTTCATTTATGTCACAGCCGTTTTCACACTTGAATCCAATTTATCCGGTTTTGCTACAGTAGTTTGTCATTTTCTTTTTTTCCTCTTTTACATTGTTTTCCCACTTTACCCTTGAAAATCCCATCTTACACTAATTAACACATTGAGGGCTTAATGGTCACTTGCGCCCACAGTTGTTGACTTTGCACAGACAAAATTTTTTTTAAATTTTAATTTAAAATTTTTTAATTATACTATTAATATATTTTTTTGTAAACTTTTTAAGAAACGCGTTTGATATAACTTTAACTATTTTCGATATTCATTTAGATCAATTCGATGAGTCCATAATATAGTTCTTGAAACGAGTTCGATAAAATATAGATAATATATTTTTTATAGATGTTGCGTTAAAAAAAATGACGAGTTATACGCATTTTTTAAATTTGACGTCAAACTATAATTGGGGATTTGGAAGGGAAAACGACGAAATTTGACCTCGAAAACGATGTCCACCAAACGAAGCTAGGTAGTCATGACGTGTGTGTCGAAAAGAGCTTTCTGAATTGGGGTCATGGGCTCAATTCTGATAACTGTAGCAAAACTTATAGTCAAATTAAAAAAAAAATAATAATAAATTTAGAAAAAAAATAAGTCCGTAAGAAAAAAAAACAGAAGAAGAAGAGCTGGCAAGCAGCGCGGAGTGCTTCACTAATTTTTTTTTATTTTTTTTTTATTTTTTTACGGATTGTTTTGGTAATTCGACCATAACTTTGGCTATGATTGTCAGAATCGTGCCCATGACCCCAATTCGGAAAGTTCTTTTCGACGCACACGTCGTGGCCACCTCGCTAGGCTGGGTGGACATCGTTTTCGAGGTCAAAATTCACTATTTTCCCTTCCTTTTCATTTACGCGTTTGATGTTTGTTTAACTATTTTCGATATTCATTTAAATCATTTGACGTGTCTATGATATAGTGCTCGAAATGAGTTTCGATGTAATATAGAAAATATATTTTTTTATACATTTTACGTAAATGAATTAAAAAAAGTAGGGCGATAATAATTTTATTAGGAATTTTTATGCCAAAAACAAAAAAAAAATTTTTACACAACATCTATAAAAAATATATTTTCTATATTCTATCAAACTCATTTCGAAAATTATATTATAGACATATCGAATTATTTAGATGAATATCGAAAATAGTTAAACGTACATCAAACGCGTAAATGAAGAAAATAACTATAGGAGATTTGGAAGGGAAAACATCGAATTTTGACCTTAAAAATGATGTCCACCTAGCGTAGCTAGGTGGCCACGACGTACGCGTCGAAAAGAACTTTTCGAATTGGGGTCATGGGTAGGATTCTGATAACCGTAGCCAAAGTTATAGTCGAATTACCCAAAAAAAAGTCCTAAAAAAATTAATAAAATAAAATAAAATAAAATTTTCCAAGCACTCCGCGCTGTGCGAAGTGCCTGAATTCAAATTTTTAAATTTTTTTTACTTATGTTTTTGTGTTCATTTTCAGGCTCATTACGGAATATCAAATAAAGTCAAAATATTATATTCTTAATATCTTTTGAAGTATTCGCGACATAGTATTGCACGTCGTTCATGTGCGTGAAACGGTCAATCATAGCAAATATTATCGGACGTCAAAGTAGGTATGTTCAAACTATATTTCGAAATTTTCGATAATGAGCTAACTTTAAAAATTTATCGACGACTATGCGATAATCGAATCGATAAATATTTTACATTTTCTCGAAACTCATTTTGAGAACTATATCGTAGAGACATCGAATGATTTAAATAGATATCAAAAGTAGTTAAACGGATATTAAACGTATGTGTTAAAAAATACGAATAATTCGTTTTTCTTAAAAAAAAATCAATTATTTTATTACTATTTCTAAATTTTCGATAACAAGTTAACTTTAAAAATTCGTCGATAATTATACGATAGTCGAATCGATAAATGTTTTACATTCTCTCGATTTTTTTTTACTTATGTTTTTGTGTTTATTTTCAGGCTCATTACGGGATATCAAATGAAGTCGAAATATTATATTCTTAATATCGTTTTGAAGTACTTGCGACATAGTATTGCACGTCTTTAACGGTGCGTGAAACGGTCAATCATAGCAAATGTTATTGGATGTCAATATAGGCATTTTCAAACTATATTTCGAAATTTTCGATAACAAGCTAACTTTAAAAATTCATCGACGACTGTGCGATAGTCGAATCGATAAATATTTTACATTTTCTCGAAACTCATTTTGAGAACTATTTCGTAGAGATATCGAATGATCTCAATAGATATCAAAAATAGTTAAACGGACATTAAACTTATGTGTTAGAAAATACGCATAATTCGTTTTTTTTTAAAAAAATCAATTATTTTATTAATATTTCAAAATTTTCGATAACAAGTTAACTTTAAAAATTCTTCGACAATTGTACGATAGTCGAATCGGTAAATGTTTACATTCTCTCGAAACTCATTTTGAGAACTATATCATAGAGATATCGAATGATCTAAATAAATATCGAAAATAGTTAAACGGAGATTAAACGTATGTGTTAGAAATGCATTTTTTTTTAAAAATTATATCTTTTTTCCTTTTTAATTCTTTTTTGTTTGACGTCAAATTTGTTTTTTTTTCTGGTTTTAACGTAAAATTTTTTAATAATCATTCTTTTATGCAAAAAATTGTATTAGATTATTTTAAAAATTAATTTATCAAGAAGAAAAAGTAACAATAAGAAAAAAAATTCCTAAAAATTATCGACTTTTTTTTATAGATAAATTTTTTTAGATGTTAAAATAATTAAGATGAAAAATTTGTTGGCTCAATTTCTTGTTGCTATAATTCAAATGTATTTTTCAAACATTATTATTTTAGTCTAAGTGATTATTTTACTTATAAATGACGTATTTGATAATACTATATTCAATATAAGTAAGTCGTTTAATTAATCGAATCATTTTTTTTATTGTTGAATATCTAATTGATCTAATTAAATCGTTTAATTAATTGAATCAATTTTTTATTGTTTGCAGTCTCCCTTTGTTTCCTTATTTAATATGCTAATATCTCCTTTTATAAAATTCAAGCCATGCATTGCATGGCACAAGACTAGTAATAATAAAAATGGCAAGATCTAAAGTTTCGGGATTAAAGCGTAAAAATGTTTTAAAATTGTGTCGAACCTCACGATGAAGATACAAGAATGTTAGGGGTCAATTTGATGCAATTAGAAGTAAAAAAGAGGTTAAATATAATCAAAATATTTTCACAAATTAATTTTCAATCGCCTAAGAATGTTCCAGGTTTTTAGTCGAAGATTGAAATCCAATTTTCACATAGTAAATGTTCAAATTGAAAAAATGATATTTGAAACAAAGTTGTAGTTATTTGAATTATCTTTTCAATGCCTTTCGATCGCCTCAATTGAAGGTTAATTAGTATGCAACGTCACTACATTTCATTATTGTGTAAAACTTCCATACTTTTCGATTTTTTGACTTTTTCATCCTTATTTTCACTCTTCATTACAAGAATCATCATTTTCATTCATATTCTCGATTAAAAGCTATAAAATGATGAATATGCCATCCTATTTACATAAAACAAAAAAGAAAAGAAAAGAAAAAATAATTAACTAATTGCAACCATAATCTCAAATTTTTAAAAATTACAAATGAATCATAAATATGTGATTAAAAATCAAATAAAAAAAGAAAAAAAGATCAAAGATAAAAGAAAAGAAATTCTATCTTCTTCCCCCACCTAAAACTAGAAGGAGAAATGCTACAAGTACAAATTTTTTTAAGAGATTTTATACAGAAAATACGGTTATTTTACAGGGATAGGGTGCTGTCAAAAACAGTTTTTGATAACAGCAAATGGGAGACAGTGTATAAAATCTGGTAAAAAAATTATACTAACAGAATAACTAAAAGCTATGAAATGATGTCCTCATATTTGCATAAAATAAAAGGAGAAGAAAGAGAAAGAGTTAAAGAACCAATTGCAACCATGGTCCCAAAATTTTTAAAACTTACAGATGAATCATAAATATATAATTAAAAATCAAAATTGAAAAAACAAAGAAAGATCAGATAAAAGATAAAATAAATTGTGTTTTCTTTCCCCACTCAAAACTAGAAGTAAAGAAACTTGTCGTCGCCATGGACCACGTGCCACCGACACTTGTCCTCGCCCTACAATAGCCATCTAACCACTTGATAAGTGCGTTTTACAAACTTATTTATGTCACAAAACATGGATAATTATTGACAAATATGTTGAAATATGGCTTCATTCTATATAAATTATGTTTTATAGGACAACATTGATGAATATGGTAGAATTTAGGAAAAACAACATAAAAATGACCAAAACGGAAGAAAATCAAAATTGAGGAATCAAAGTGCAAATAGTCGAAGATGTCCTGAAAGAAGAAACGAAAAAGTGAAAGAGTTGAAAATCAATTTAGTAAAAGAATGAAGTATTGGAAGAAGAAGAAATAAGAAATGAGGTCAAGAAATGAGAAAATGGAGTTTGGGAACTAAAGTGCAAAGTTTGAAAACTTAGCGACACTATGCGGCCGCATAAT